ACGTCGAAGGAAGAGCGTTGCACCTCCGAGAGAAATGCAGAGGTTTAGATCTCTGTTTGGGCCGCGTGCGCCTCCGTGTGTACGGGCACACGGGAGATGCTGATGTCGCTGCGCCAGGAACACGTGCAGATGTTCCGTGGGAGAAACGAGTGAAAAATGCTGCCATAGAATGGGACATAACACACAGTTTTCTGAGTTTTAGTCGCTATAGATCTGAACTTTGCAGTTTTTCCTTGCATTTCAGCTAACAAAACGTTCTTTTTTGTGAATTGCAGGTAGCCCTTGTTTATCCCAACAATGACCCGGTCATGTTTATGGTGGCGTTTTACGGCTGTCTCCTGGCAGAAGTCATACCAGTGCCTATAGAGGTACCTCTTACCAGAAAGGTAACGTTGATGGAACTTAAGAGGGCGATGGGCTGATGTGGGAGGAAAACCAAGTCAGACCATCACCCTCCGAAAGCGTTGCACAGCATCCAGCTGCTCCCTCAGCAGCTCCGCATCCATGCGATGTGCCAGACCTTTGTGAACCTTGAAAAATGGGAAACCATATTGAGCAGAGGGCTGTGCTGAGTAGCTGGAAACGGTCGAACCCCCTAAACACTGTGGCCTTCATTCTGTTCTTGCAAATCCTTTATAAGGTGCAGATAATCCCGTGAATCTGCCTTTGGATCGACGTGAAGGGCATCTCATTCTTGGCCAGGCGTAGCATCGGCCTGGCTGTGGGCTTTGTGGAGGCTGAAGGTGTTAGGTGTTCCAAAGACTTCAAGGCGCTTTTTGTCCATGATTTGCTCCACAAAGTGTTTTCTGTACCCTTGCCAGAATTTTTGCAATATTGCCATATTGTTGCCGAGCCAAGAACTGCCCAAAACTTTAGGATTTGTAAGAGGAATGGAAAGCAACAGGACAGTGGCAAACATACGGCAAGAGAGGTGGGGATGAGGGCTGGAGCACCTCTCCTATGACGAAAGGCTGCAAGAATTGGGCTTGTTCAGCCTGGAGAAGAGGAGGCTCCGAGGAGACCTCATTGCAGCTTTCCAGTATCTGAAGGGGCTACAAGGGTGCTGGGAGAGGACTTTTTACAAGGGCCTGTAGTGATAGGACAAGGGGTAACGGGTATAAATTGAAATCAGGGAGGTTTAGATTAGATATCAGGAAGAAATTCTTCCCAGAGAGGGTGGTGAGGCACTGGAACAGGTTGCCCAGAGATGTTGTCGATGCCCCATCCCTGGGAGTGTCCAAGGCCAGGCTGGATGAGGCTTGGAGCAACCTGGTCTAGTGGAAGGTGTCCCTGCCCATGGCAGGGGGTTGGAACTGGATGATCTTTAAGGTCCCTTCCAACCCAAACCATTCTATGATTCTATGATGAGATGGTAAGCTAGTCTGGGAACGCTGTGGGAGTCTGAGCTTTGCTGTCACTTCTCTGCAGCGTGACGGCTGCTGCAGCAACCACACTCAGAATTAAAACAACTCTGGTATTTGCCCAGTCGGACTTCGCAGTGCGCTGCCTCGTTTCCGTGCTTTATCGCTCTGCAGTGGAAATCGGTTCCTGGGGAAAGAGAGCCCTGCTTCTTTGAGAGTAATCCTCCCTTTTGCTGTCTTTGCCCCATGATCCTCTCTGAAGCGCTGGGCTTCCGTTAACGAAAGCAAACGGCGCCGTCCCGACGCTGGGCGTGTTGCTGGGCGCTGCGCTCCCGGCGCGGTTTAGCCTTGCCAGCGCAATACCTGCTCTACGCACGGGGTTCCCTTGAGGAGCACCGCGGTTCTCCGCCGTCTGTCCCCGCTCCGGCAGTCGTTTCGGCTTTGAACGGAACAAATGGAAAAGCACAGAGTGCTGTAGCCCTCCTGCACTTCCGTGACGGCTTCTCCTTTTCCTCTGGCCTTCTGTTGGCTTGGAGGCCCCTCTCCATTTTCCCCCGCGAGCCTTTGTGCCGCGTGTGTATCGTCATCCAAAGGGTGTCGTTACGGAAGCGTCGACGCGGTTCTTCGTCCCCGCCAGGCGCTGGCTGTCACTCGAGCCTCACACCGTTCCCAGACACAGATGTCGGAGAAGGACAAACCAAAGGAAGGAGTGGTTGTGGGCAGGGGTTTGCTGCTTCTTTTCCCTCCCATAGTGCGACCGTCCGGTTACCAGCTCCTTTCCAGACCTCGGATTTTGGTAAGGGGAGAGTTGACTTTGTCCTGCTCAATCCGGAATGACTTTTCCCCTCTCTGCCCTCAGGATGCTGGTGGTCAGCAGATCGGATTTCTGCTGGGAAGCTGTGGCATTGCTTTGGCGCTCACCACTGAAGTTTGTCTGAAAGGGCTTCCAAAAACCCAAAATGGAGAAATTGTGCAGTTTAAAGGTTAGATTGGTTGCGTTCGTGCTTTTGGTTGTACTTCTGCTACAGCTGACCTGTCTGAAAGGCGTTGTCGGAGGTCGGAATGTGTTTGGGGGGTGCGAAGCGAGCAAATTTCCGGGCAGCATGACTGCACTCCTGTGGGTCTGACCCGTCTGGTGCAGGTTGATCCATGGGCCTGACAGAATTGCTTTCTTCTTCTGGAAGTCATGGTGAATGCACCTTCCAAGGCAGGGTTGTCCTCAGATCCCCTCAGTGGCATTTGGCGGATCCATTAGCGATACGGGCTATATTTAGAAGTACTGCAGGGAGCTTTCCTGAGCAGAGGAGGTGTCTTGTTGCCCACTGAACTCCCTGATGAGAAATGAGATGAACCTTCTGGCTAGTAGCTTGGCTTACGTTGGTATTCTGCTTGTGTAACTGAACTTGGACAAACGATGGGGGTTTAGTGTATTCTTGCAGCATATAAATCCCTCAAGAAATAAACCGGTATTAATATTCCATTTTAAATTTGGCTCTAGGTTGGCCCAGACTCAAATGGGTTGTGACAGATTCAAAATATCTCTCCAAATCTCCTAAGGACTGGCAGCCCAACATCTCAGCTGCAGGAACTGAGCCAGCATATATTGAGGTGAGTAGTGTGTGGGGAAGAGACAGCAGCTTCCGTGAGCTGAGTGTCCCGATCACCAGAGAGAGAGAATACTTCCACCCCGCAACCTTAAACTGCCCAGCTCCAGGCTTTCGCTGTGCAACCTGCTGCGGAGCTGCTTAGTTTTGAACACCTCCGGGGCCTTGAGCGCTGCTCGGAGCGGAGAACACCGTTCTTGTTGCAGGAAGGTAGCAGTGGAGACGCTGAGCTCTGGGGTGGCGCAGATAACGCAGATTTCTGAAGCTCCTTAAGCCAACAGCGGTTTGAATTTTCTTCCTAGCAGAGCTTGGTTTTGTTTGTACGTCTCAGTGAGGCAGCTTCTGGGAAGCGCAGTGGTCTGGGCAGCTGTAGAGGAACGAAACCTTATTAAATACGGATTCTGGGATTTAGTATCCTCCGTATGTGGGATCCAGAGTCACAGCCCGACTTCTTTTTCTCTTCCGTAGTACAAGACGAGCAAGGAGGGCAGCGTGATGGGCGTTACGGTGTCGCGGATTGCCATGCTGTCTCACTGTCAAGCCTTGTCCCAGGCCTGCAACTACTCCGAAGGTAGGGAACGAGGATTCAGCGACACTGTTGTCAGCAGCTGCCTCTCGTGTTGTTAACAGCTGTCTCTGAGTACCCCACACACAACAGCATGTGCTTTAAAAAAAGAAGAGGGGGGTGGGGGGAGGAAGAAAAGGTAAAGTGCAGGTTAATTGTCCCCCAGAAGTGAAGAACATCTGGAATCTCAACCATCCCAAACTGCATCATTTCAGTGCCGTAGCGAAGAGCAGTAAAAGGTGGGCTTCGCATCACGCCTAGAGAGTTGCCAGGTCTGTTCTGGTGGCTCAGAAGGGGAGCAATTCCCAAGTGGAGACTCTCCCTCTTGCTCCACTGATCACCCACTAAAACATCTTCCCAGGCTTCCCCGTCAGAGCGTCTCTTGCGTAAACTGGGTCTGTACCAGTCACGTTTTGGCTCGCCTGGAAACGGGGTTGGAAGTTGCTGCTGGGAGTAGGGCGAGTTCTGCCATAGGATATGGTTTTAGTCTGGTGTGTGGAGAGCCGGGGCTGAAACTTTCTTTTCAGAGCTGGATGTGCTTTAAAATGCAGAGTTTGTCTCCTGGGAGCCATCACTTTAATTGGCATTGGGAGTCAGTGCTTGAATCTGCTGCTGCTCGTGCACAGCGAGGTTAAGACCCTTCCTGTTCCACGCCGTCTGGCACCGGCTGGAGTGTGATCTTCCTGCACATTTTTGGATACGTTCCTTCTCGGAAACCGACGCTCGGTCACGTTACTTTGCATAACGAGGAGCTCTGACTCGTAAAACGGGTGATGAGACAAGCGAGGCTCTGAACCTGTTCGCCGTGTGCCTCTCGGAGCAGATCTGACAGTCGGACGTGTGTGGACTCCGGCATAAATCCGGTCGCGGCCAGCCTGGCACGGCTCACCTGAAACCCACCGCTTTCTTTTTTCCAGGTGAAACGATAGTGAATGTTCTGGATTTTAAGAAGGATGCGGGGCTGTGGCACGGCATTCTGACGGTGAGTGGAGTTGTAGGGGCTTGGTGAGGCGTTTCTGGAGCTTGAGGAGGTGGTTGAGGTTGAGGGCCGTCATGCTTCAGCCCCTGCTAGATCTGCAGTTCTCCGGGGGAAGCGCGGAAGCATCCGCGGGAAACGTGTCTGCGTTCGCGGTGAGGAATGAGGGTGACTCCTATTTCTGCTTGATAACGGGGTTTCTGGGCCCCTCTGTAAAGGTCTTTTCTGTTTTTCAGAATGTAATGAACAAACTGCACACTGTCAGCGTGCCCTATTCTGTGATGAAAACCTGTCCGCTCTCCTGGGTGCAGAGAGTCCACGCCCATAAAGGTAACTCCGTGTTCCACAACTTCAGCTTGAAGTTCTCGGGATAACCGAGTGATGAGCCTGTGATAAATGATAATGAGCGATAAATGCTTAGAGCCTGTCCTCTTGCTCTTCCATGACAAAACTCGAGGGCAGGAAGTCTCCTTGATTTCTAACTATGCACAAACTCCACGGGAATGCCAGCAAACTCGATGGGGACTTTGTGATCTGGGGACTTGAAGTAAATGCCTTTTACGAAACCCCTTTTTTGGGGGTACTGGGGGATGAAAAGCTGAACATGAGCCGGCCGTGTGCGCTGGCAGCCCAGAAAGCCAACCAGATCCTGGGCTGGATCAGGAGAAGTGTGGCCAGGGGAGCGAGGGAGGGGATTCTGCCCCTCTACTCTGCTCTGGTGAGACCCCACCTGGAGTGCTGCGTCCAGCTGTGGAGCCCTCAACATCAGAAGGATATTG